CTAATGAGTTCACCATCTTCGCAGCCAACCTGGGCATCAGACACGCTCTCACAGCCCCCTTTCACCCTGCAAGCAATGGGATGGCAGAGAGGGCTGTTAGGTCTGTAAAGGAAGTTTTGGCCAAGCTGGGCCAAGCAGACTGGCACTCCAAGCTGTCCACTTACCTACTCACGCAACACGCTACTCCATGCCCCACCACCAACAAGTGCCCTGCTGAACTTTTGATGGGCAGACGCCTCAGGACCACCCTGGACAGGTTGCACCCCCACTACGCTCCTAGCACACCACTGGCTTCTGACAGCCATGCCAGGGAATTCGCCCTGCAAGACCTGGTTTATGCCAGGAACTATGCAGGGCACCCCTTATGGCTGCCAGGGCAGATAGTCTCTGTTACAGGACCCAGGTCATACAGAGTCCTCCTGGAAGATGGTCGAGTTTGGAGAAGACACGTGGACCAGCTAAGGAGGTGCTGGAAGAGGCCCGCCTCTGAAATCCTGGTCTACCAGCCGCCGGACGACCCAGTCTACTCGCCGCCTGCCGCAGCCGACCCGAAGGACCCGGTCTACCAGCCGCCCAACAACCCAACTTACCGACCGCCGCAAGAGGACTCACCCGAGCAGCAGCCGGACAGCAGGACTAGGATGGCCGACAACCCTCTGCAAGCTCCTGTCGCCGCCTGGAAAGAACAGGACTCGGTAGCAGCCGACAAGCCCCTGGAACTACGAAGATCAGGCCGCGAGCGAAAACGGCCGTCCCGGCTGCAGGACTACGCATGCTCATGGCCAGGGGAAAGGAGTGCTGTGTTCAAGGACTAACGGCGGTCCTCCCTCTGGTCCGCCGCCTACGCGGGAGCGCCGATCGCTCCCATTGGCTGATGCCGTTTGACAGCCGGCTATAAAAGGGAGCTGTCAAACGGCATCAGCTGTCGCCGCCAGCTGGCTGTCAGTTAGCCCCGGCAGCCGCGGCGTCCCTTTATTCATTAGAATAAAGTTTGTTAGCCTCAGCCTGGCTCCGTCTCTATCTGTCACCGCCGCTCTACAACACTTAATTTAACCACAATACTTCAAGGCATGTCCCATGATTTCCCATTTCTTCCTCAGCTATTTCCTAACCTGGTGTTCTGTTGGTTTACAATGTTGGTTTACAACTCCCATCAATTCAGAACAACTTTCATCAATTCTATCTGTGTTGAATTGTGTTAGAAGCAGGAATATTAATGCACCCAATAATAAAAGAGTAATATAAGATTATAATATAAATAATAAAAGAGTAAAAAACACATTTCCCACCGCTAGCCCTACTACATGTCAATTAAGTCTGAAATTCTGCATAATATATTGTCAGAAGAACTTGTCTCACTTTAGAGGTTTTTACCATCAGAATGTGTGCATTCACCATTTGTGAGAGTTTTGCAATGAATTTGTTTGAACAATGCAATTATTATGTGTCAAGTGATGTAGTTTTTTTATTAAAATAGGAAAGGGTTGAGCTGTCTAAACTGTGGAACATAGAGCTAGGCTTGGCATAGCAAATTGCTAGAAGCAGCTATTTAGCAATTCCAATAGCAAAGTGACTGTCACTGTCTACAGAAAACATGCTTTTAGGAACCACATTCCAAATTCGTAACACATCCTCCTTTAGTTATAGGCTACAACATGCACCTAAAATGCTAAAATATGGAGTGAAGGTATATTGTGTCTGTCTATGTATGTGTGTGTGCCTTTTTTAAAAAACTATTTATTGAAAATTTTGATTCTCTGTAGTGAAATATCTATTATGACATCAACTTCTAAGGGACTCCAACTTGTGGTTTCATTTGTGGGGGGGGTGTTGTAGTCATATATGCAGAGACTAAAAGAAGACACTACCATAACAGCAGAAAGAGCTTGAAAAAAGGTGTTTCTGCTTTCACAGTGTCAAGAGGTGTTTTATAAGAACACTTTTTTTTTTAAGAGATTGTGTATTTTTTGAAAGGAAAAGTTTAATCAGAAGGGTTAATTTGCAACTTCCATGTCCAGGCAGTACTGAACGTTAACCCTACATTTTTCTAGGGTTGTCTATTATATAAAATAATTTTTATATTCTATAGACTTTCTTATTTCAAGTGTTATTTTTCATTGCACTGAGTGCCTCATGGAGTCTACAGCAGCAGCAGGATAACTCCTTAATCCCTTCTAGGATAATGTCAATTTGAGTAGAATGTAACTAGATTCCATATTGCACTAAGTCATAATCTTTTAGGCAGGAATTGCTGATTAGCCACAACTGATTAGATTCACTCCACATGAGGAGACCTGCTATAATTTATAAGTTATGGTATTTAGGTTCACTTTGCATGCTAAACCAAAGATGCTGTGCTCCTGAACTAATAACATGAATTGTGACAACCTCCTATGATTAAAACTAATAAGCTTCTTCTTGATGATATGGAGAGTGCCAGTTACCGGTTTATCTCAATGAATTCTTTATCTATATATACAACCCAGAGTCCTATAAGAACGCAGATCTGCTTCAGGCACAACCAGACAAATCTGTGCCACAGTTCATATCTGCATGCAGAAGTCTATGCAAAAGGAATGGGTTGTGGCAGAGATCAAGCTTTTCATTGACAAGCCATTGATTTGGCAAATGATAGCGAAACTGAATTTTGGTAAATCTTTGCCTCCATAAACCATAAGTTGGCTTTTTCAGATAGAATGGGGGTAATTTCTTGCAGGGTTTCAGCTTGTGTCCACAAAGATGATTCACAGTTACGGTGATGGCTTTGCACAGCAAAACTGGACCTCTACTCATAGGAGAGGTAATACTCTTGTATTCAACATTCCAGCCTGATAAGATGGCAGCGCACATATCTGGAAGCCAAGGGTTCCTGCTGTAGGGCCTGAAAATTTAAAGCATACATTTCTGCAAATGCATCAGCCTGCATCTACTGCATACATACAGTATGCATCTATTGCAATCTGCTCTTCAAAATGCTTTATTAAACCAAGACAAAAGAGCTACATGACTTCCTTGCTATCCCCTCTGACCTGGCTGCTTCCAACACAAGAGCAGATCAACTTTTGAACTCCTGCAGGCCAAAACAGCTGAGTATTGAGTTTTCACATATGCTAATGTTCTCTGGCCATCACAGTTGTGTGCACACAAAGCTGGAACCCTGAAAATAACTCCGTCCTGCTCTCCCTGCCAAGCCAAGCAGTGCTGCTGCCTGTTCAAACTATATCACAGTATAATTCCATGGCAGCGTTTGATTATAAGGTAAGAAATTAAGAAAAAAGAAAGCAAATAGATAACCAAGTATTCATACATAGTCAGATCAGGAGCCAAGCAACAGGCTGAAATAAGGTGGCTATATAACACATGACTCCTGTCCCTTCAGAGCCCTGAAAAGTAATTGTGGATAACTAATGGCTTTGAACAAAGAAACATGAAAACCACAGCTAAGCATTCAGCACTTGTCAGAGTCCGGTGTGGCCCTTGTCGACCAAGATTTTCCCCTTTCCACCACCTACACCTCAGTGGTATTATCATACTCAGTAAACTTTCTTTCTGGAGGAAAGCCTCTTTCCAAGAGTCTTAGAAAAGGAAGAAGGTTGAGACATATCATCACCATAGTGAATGAATGAAGCAGAGAACAGTTCCAAGGAGGTGTTCCACAGTGAAAGCAGCATTGGGCACATTATGCTGTTACAATACAAATGAAATGCAACAATAAGCATGTTGTACAATGGTGATATTACACTATTTATTGCTTTGCACTCAAAGTTCCTTTTTACATTAGACAAATAAATTATCTTATTCCACAGCATGCCTTCAATAATCTTGTCACACATCACATTTCCTTATAATTTTGTCCACATCACATTTGACAGCAACTGAATTTCTTCTGAGGAAATTTTTCTCACTGCTGCAAATATACTGTTACTACTTATTTATGTGTAATCTTTCAGTCATGTCTGCATGAACATGATAAATCACTGTGTGCACAGATATGTTCTATTAATGTTCCTTGGTATTTAAGCCATGATTTCCATCATGGTCAGCTATTTTGCAGAATAAATCAAAATATATTTTTCTTGAACAATTAAATAAAAAAAAATGAAAGATTGCCTTGGAAATTACTTTTGTACAAAATGTTAATAGTCATGCCAACATGAAAAAGAAAAGAGATGAGTCTTAGGACTGTGCAGGGTATTGTGCTGCACCTACACAGAACGAGTAAGTAACAGGAGCTGCCCCTGATATTGTCTTTCAATTCTAATGCAAGATTCATGCTCGATCTGTCTCCCCTTACCTTCTATGCACATTTTTTTTTCAAGCAAATGTCACAAATCATACCAACTGGAACAGGCTAGGAAGATATTTGTGCGTAATACATGAGTGGTTATTGTCATGCCTTAATGAGAATTGCTGGTCCTGCATACAGGAATACTTCTGTTTCTATGGAATAAAATCTTAAAAACAAAACAAAGAGCTGAGCAGTGAAGCAAATGTTCAGTGTGGATATAAAAAGGGGCATGTGGAATAAATTTGCATTCATCTCAGAATCATGCTGAACCTAAAACATTCCGTACTTCTTAAATCAGGTTTATGTTAGGGTAGAAATGCTCAGCATACGCACTGAATCTGAGGCTCAAAGCAAATGCAGAGGCCATACTTCTATGACTATGAATAGTTCTCGTAGTGGCTGTTCTACACAAATCAGCTTTGTGCTACAGGAAGGGCCTCCGTCTGACTTTGCACCACTGTCCACTGTCAAAGTAAAGCTCAGTTGGAAAAATGAAACCCTGAATGAATAAATCATGGAGAGGCTCTTCAAGCCTTGACAGTCTATCCAAGCTCTTCTAGTGGTGAAAGATGGCACAATGCTGAAAGCAGGATGAGAGTGTTTTCTGTTGGGACGCATTTATGTGCCACCTGAGCCCTTCACTATGTTTTTGTGGTCTCTTTTTAAAAGAAAGCTGTGTTGGACCTGGGAGTCTAGCATGTGGGAGGAAGAAATGGAGGGACACAAAAGGCTCATGCAAGTCATCCACGAAATGCAGTCCAAGATCATCAAGCTAGTACAAGAAAACCAAGCCCTTCGAGGGGAGTTACAGTTTGGTGGACAGAAGGAAACAAAGGGAGAAGAGATTGTCAGAGAAAACACTCAAAACGGAGAATCCTGGAGCCACTCAAAATCAGATGAAGAGACCACTGGTTCTCTAGTGCCTCTGCGCAGGAGTGTTTCAGCTGGCTCTGCTTTGATTCTACAGGAACAAAAAGGTACCATGTAACTAAAACTGCCAATGAACAATATGTGACTCTCTGATTCATCTTTTTCTTTTGTTGGAGTAAGAGAAACAAGGCCAAGAATTGGATTTGTACATGATGTTGATTTATGCTTTATTAAATAATATTTTACTAACTTTGGTGGACATATTTCACACAATCTAGTCAGCTAAAATCAAACAAATCACATTATCATGGCTTAGAATATTATGTGAACTAAGTTATCCATTTTCAAAATCCAGTTCCCAAATATTATTGAGCTGGAAATGCCATCCTCCATATTTCCTTGTATGATCTAGAGACTAAGATTGTCATCCCTTAAAAAAAAAATCTCATATGTTGAAAAATGCTAGTTTAAGTGATAACCTAAATTTTCTAACTAAGCCTGAAATATATCACCCAATCCATATTTCCAGTTGCATGAATAATCTTTGAAACTGCAGATGTTAAGGAGATAACAATGTTTTGCAACAAAAAGGTTCTAAAGGTTGTTTAGAAATGGTAAAAAAAATTAGACACTAGGCAGTATAGATTGCATGTCACAAGAAAATCTCTACTGGCTTGAACCCATAAAATATTTTTGATTTCTCTGAGATCTCTGAAAGAAGTATCATTTCCTTTGTTCCATTTATTCTTCTATAGTCCAGATTTCCTTTATCTAGCACTGTAAAAATAAGAATGAGGAACACAGTTGTCACCCAAATTTAAAAATAAGGAACAGTTGAAGAAAAATAACAGCAGGTGGTGATCTTTGTGAGATCTGTCTCACATAAGAAATTGGGAACTCATGCAATGAGATTTACAATCACCCAGTCTACTTGAAGGATAAGACCTCAGCCTGGGTATGTCACAGTGGTTTATTCTATTCGTAGTGGCTTAAATTAATGTTCTCACTACACCAATAATATTGACATTTTCTTCAGCAAGTTTTTTCAAAGAGCTAAAATGTACAGTTTCAAATCTGAAATGTAATCTCCCTGAAAAGTTTATGAGCACAAATAAGCCAAGGGAGTGGGAAATTGATATGTACTTTTTAAAACTTGTTAATATGAATGAAGAATTCTGAATTTGGTCACAGTCAGTAGAAAGCTATAGAAAGTAACAAAGCTGTGCATCATGTTGGTTTGGATCTGTTATGGTATTTTCAGATACTTATAACATTATATTATCTGATGTATGCTTAATAAGCCTAACTCTTTGAAATAGCAAAGGTCCAGGACCAACTCTGAAGGTGGAGCAAAGTACTATAAATAATAATTCTGGTAGTACAAATAAGATTTTATTCCATGGGATTTCTCCTAGGTATGTGATAATAATAAATTTATGAAATAAGGCTTACATGCTCCGATAAGGGAAGGCTGCAAATCCCAACAGATTTTTTTTCAAATTGATGTTTTCATATGTGTTGTATTACACAATCAATAATTCAAATCAAACATACCCAAAGTCCATTATGCCTGCTAACTGTGAAAATTGTAACCCAAAATATCTTAAAGGCATTAGTGTGGCAAGGAAATAATCATAAAGGTGTTTTCTTGGAAGTATCACTGAAATTAAGAGGACTATTTTAAAATAGTTTCTCAATTGCAGTAAATGTTTCACTGTTGCTCTTTCCAAGTATATTGAATAATTAGGTAACCAGAACTTCTAAAGAAATGTGAATCCTACACTATTTATCTAAACAGAACCACCTTTATGAAGAAAAAACTTCACTTGATTTCCTTTTTTAAGGTAAGAAATGGCCATCACAGAACTATCTCAACAGGTTGGATAACAAATGATTTGGAGGCAGTGCAAATCATTATTTACCATTTAGATTACTGTAGTGACCATAGTATCCCATTCCAAAACTGCACTATCCAGTTTTTCTTAGAGAGAGGAAAAAATAAAAATGGATAGACTGGAATAAATATACCTATATTATACTTCACTTGCCTCTTAACATTGCTCCCAACAAAGTGAGATAATTCCCCCTAATCAGATGAACTCCAGGTTTGGATTATAATTTCCATGATCCCTAACTATTGGTTGTATTGAATTGTAGTGCAAGAATCAGAATCAACAGCAATAATAGAATTATAAATTCTCCACATGTAGTCTATTGCTTTTTCCACATCAAATGGATTGTTTTGATTTCTCTCTTGTAGTTTGTCACATTTGTCATGCTCATATGGTTTCTGGGTATGGTGGTGAGATATCCATCAAATTTTGGACTACCTACTGTTTATTGCTCACACATGGGTGGCTATTTAACAGATATACAACTATATATGCAACACAACACAACACAACTCAACCAAGTGACTCTTGGTTGGCTTACAATTATAAATGCAATACTATTTATTTTCTATATAACTGGAATAACATTTATACTGCTTGTTCTTTGTGCAGATAACATTATGACTGTCAGGCGTTATTCCATCTCATCTGTGCCTTCACTTCTCAGCAATAAACACCACAAAAGTGATAAGAAGAATCCTTTCAAGACATCTCTTGAATTTAAGGGGATAAACAAATCACCAGTCTTTACTACAGATGGACCATTATCTAACAAAGAAGACAAAAGTTTTGGAAAAATCTCATCAAGTAAAGACAGTTCTTTCCAAGATCAAGTTTTCAAGTGCAGGTAAGTTGGATTACATGACAAAATGTTGAATAAGGCTCAGTTTAAAAAAAAACAACTAATGATGATGATTTGAAAACATCTGGTAAGCAAGGTGAGTAAATTTTGGTTTATTAGTTCTACTTTTAAAACATTTTGAATGGAAAGTTAATTTTGAATCAGCATATTGTTGAAAATTTCTGCCAATCCTACTTGCAATCTCCCAGCACCCTGAGAATGTGCTGTCAAGTTTAGTAACAAAATGGGCTAATTGTTGACAGACCAATTTCTGACTATGGGGACATGGAGGTTGGTAGGAGTGGGAGAAGATGGCCTCTCAAGAATCTTCTCTTATATCCACCTTCTTAAAATCTATTTTTAACAGCCCTCAAATGAGCATTTGACATTTTTGGGTTGTGAGCAAAGGTGAGAAACAGACTGATTTTTTCTGACTCTGTATAGTTCTTAGTAGCACAAACCAGAACCTGCAGCAAAAGGCTTCAGCTTAAGCATTAAAGATTTTGACTCTAGACATTTGTTTTGATCACTTAAAATGATTGATGCTTTACAGTCCTTTTATTTCCAAAGATACTCTTTCTTACCTCAGTTTCTTCATGTCAGCAGTGTTGTTCAGGGTAGAAGAGAGATATTTAATTGCTGCTGCTATTAAACAGTTGAGAATTAAAAAAGCTTCCTGAACTATTGCAGATCTCCCAGAAGTCTTTCAGTAAGTTCACATCTGTATTTTGACTACTTCTGCTCTGATGGCATGCACTATAGACCTATTTACTATTGTGGGGCAGGGTTGAACTAAATAAACATAACAGGATTTCATTCCTAGTGTAGCATCCCGATTTTCAGGTAGAATCAATAACTGATTATAAAGTGGTATTGCAGCCTAATTCTGCCCACAGTTTGAAGTTCAATCCTAGTGGGCTCAATTCAACCTTTCATCCTTCCAAAATCAGTAAAATGAAAACCCAGATTGTTGCTGACTCTGTAAACTGCTGAAAGGGCTGTAAAGCACTATGGAGCAGTATATAAATTATATTGCTATTGCTAACTTATTTATTTATTAAATTTTTATGCCACCCATATCACTATCAAAGCAACTGGGTAACCTACAACACAATATTATATATAATTGTTCTTGATTCATATACACAAAAGTACTGCAGGTATCTTAGATGTTGTTGGCTTGCAGGTCACTATCAAGGTATCAATGAGCATTTTCCCCTGCATTGGATAACCTGGCCCAAAACATATAGAACTGCTCTTCCAATCCTGAACATATTTCATAGAATTCCCTATCTTGCATGACCAAGGAAGATATCCAGTTTCTTGGAGCTATACATGAATGGAAACTTTATTATGCAAAAGACAACAACATGCTGATGACTGTTGAATTGAACATGACCAGGATGGTTTGGTGTTTTTTTTTTTAACTTTCCCAACATAGCATTTCCTAATGGATTTCCCATCCAAGTATTACCCAGTTGTAACTGTTACCAGACTTTATTTAACTTTTTAATATCAGCCAAGGTTAGCTAATATTTTGGAAGACATATTTACAAATGGGAATTCTTTATAAGGCTGAAGTGCAGAACATAATAGCTCCTTTGTGGAATATAATTATCATTCTGTACAAGTGTATGTTGAGTACTTTTCTTACTGAAACAAGCATGTGGCCTGAAGCTGGAGACACAGCATACCCCTGATGAAAGTAAAAAAAACAAAAAACAGTTGGCATATTTCACTCATTGCTTTTATACAGAACATCTCATTTTCCACATTTTCTTTTTCCAAGCACTAGGCCATCAAAACCTTTCTACTGGAGATGTCAGTTTTGAGGTGGGGTCCATTTGCATGAATAAATCTAGTGCATTGCATTGAGAGGTTTTTGCTCAAGAAATTAAAACAAGGCTTTTTTACTTAAAATCTTTTGCATGCATTTCTTTTCTAGAGGGAAAGTAAAGGCTGTCAGTTTCTTGTTGTCGCCTTATTCAGGAAATCAAGATTCTTTCAAATGCTTACAAAGTGAGAACCCAAAACAATTAAGCACCATTATTGAAAAGGACATGTGAACTGGGGACTAATTAGAAGACCTGTGGAGATTTGGGGAATAAGCTGTCTTGATGTAGCCCAGCAGTTGGGTTATTTCATGCAAAGTACTTTGGCAAATACCTTCAGAGAACCTCCCGAGCAAATAATGTTTCAGATCACTGGCTGACTTTTCTAGCAGAAGACAAGAAAACATCTGACAGACACCATCGGGACAGCTTTCACATCCATGCTAAAAAAAATCCAGTGTGTTAAAGGACTGCATTAAACAGCACTTAATTGGAACAACAGTTTCCTCTCTAGCTTTTTTTTTAAAAGTGCTTAGTTCGTTCATCTAACATTCAAGTCATAAATATTGACATATTAAAATAATATTGCTTATATAACAAAAAAGCAAAATCACAAAAATTATATGGACGGAACCATTGGTTTCATTAATATATTCATGTTATTCTATTCAAAACATTTGCATAGAAAAAAATGGAAAATTAACTATCATATGTGCATTTCTAAATAACCTTCCAAACGGGAAACCTTCCAGGAAAAAAAAGCATGTCTTTCTAGCATTGTTAGGTTTATTTATTTGCAATCATAAAGATATGCCATATAACTTTCTTTTGTGCTCCATTGGTTTCAATCTTATTGGTATGTAATTGAAGAGATACAAACGGCATAAATATGTGAATAAAATAACCATTTTATTTTTCTTGTTTTTGTATTCTTACCGTAAGTATCTTATCCAGAGGATGCAATGGATATATTCCTTATTTCAGGGGATAAAAACTTGGATATTTTTCCCATTGCATCTGAAGTCCTCTAACTTGGAGTCTGTTAATTCAATGTTTTACTGTATTAGAGTTATTTTAGGAGAATTAATAGTAGTATTCAATTCAATGACTAGGCATTCTATTTCCTTGTTTCATGACTGACTGTACTTGTTATCTGATTTTAAGCAATTATAGACTATTTGTATATCAGAACTATAGTTTTATTATTTTGTAAACATATGGTTAATAAAACTGTGAAAATGCAAACCAACTTTTCTCAGATTGGTAATCTTGATTTAATTTTAATGTTATTTAGATTTCTAGTCTGCACCTCAAAAGAGTTTCATCTGGCACTTCAAGGGAGTATACTCATATTTTCTCACCCAATATTTTCTCCTCAACACAAACTTGCAAGGTAGCATTGGCTTTGAAAATAATACAAAATTGTCCAGACAGTTTCCAGGCTGAATGTGAAGTTAAGTTGAATCTTAGTGGTGTCAGTTTAATATTACACATCCCTCCTGCCAAATATAGTACCTCGCATTCTTATCACTACATTCATTTCTCCCCCTAGATGGAGGAGGAGGAGGAGGAGGAGGAGGAGGAGGAGGAGGTGGTGGTTGTGTTCTGCAAAGCAGAGCCCAACTTTTCAAGGGTATTAATTCCAAAACTGTTTCTAGGCTTCACAAAAATCACAGGATTATTCTTAGAAAATAACTAGAGTGGCTAAAGTCCAGAAAAAAACACAGAAGTGGTGGAAAGCATCCTGCCTTGTGAAAAGGATGTCAGGAAATATTTTCATTGATTTGCCTCTGGTAAATATATATATTGCTATTATTTGTATCAGCCTCACTAGATGTTTTGTGAAAGTGTCCATATCTCAGACAAAATTTGACTTGACCATTGGCACTCTAATTCTTACTGATTCAGTGCATTGCGTTCAATTACATTTAAAGCTGTCTATATTATGAGGATGCACACATTTGTATTTCACAGCAGGCAATGTTCTACCCAAGGATAAGAAATATAAACAATGCTACAGATCTCCTTTTTGTTTTGCCCAGTCATGTGTACTGCTTTTAAACATCTATTTTCAAAATGTGGAAATAAGAGCTATGTCATCCATGATCTAAGCTGATTGATACATGCATTAATTGGCTTATGTGATCATTATGCTATTAGCAAGAAAACAAAAACAGCTTCCATGAATAATTACAGGTTCTGTGTACTCAGAGTATCAATGACTAGTGTTTTCTGATGATAGGCTGAAAATGTATGGCCATAAGAGGCTTGTTGCATCAGAACTACACTTGGTCTTATCCATTTGGTCTCCAGTTAGAACATCCAGGATGTTTCAAGGACAGGTAGAAAAGGTTACATTATATTTAGCTTTTATTTAAACAATATGGCTGATTGATACAAAAAGATCCAGCCTCCTATGTTAGCTTTTGTTTGGTCGCTCAAGGTACTAGCCATCACTAGCAGTATATCTTGGAGCAGTCCATTATCTATATATCTGTCCCACAAGTAGACTACACATAACAGCAGGCAAAGCTGCATATCCTGGTATGGGCCACGGTGACACAGTGGTTTGAATGCAGTACTGCAGACTACTTTTGCTAATCACCGGCTGCCAGCAGTTTTTCAGTTCAAGTTTCACCAGCTCAAGGTTGACTCAACCTTCCATCCTTCTGAGGTGGGTAAAATGAAGACCCAGATTGTTGGGGGCAATATGCTGTCTCTGTAAACCACTTAGAGAGGGCTGTAAACACTTTGAAGCAGTATATAAGTCTAAGTGCTATTGTTATTGCTTTTCACAACAATTAAAAAGAGGCTAATTTAATATCTCATATAAAACATTTATTGCCCAAATAGAAAATACCATAAATCATGAAAACACATTTATAATGATGGCCATACAAAGAAATATCTCAAATGAGTAGATAATACATCTGATTGAGAAACATGCTCCTCCCTTAATAAGTTGTAGACTACAGCCACAGTTATGGACCGTGCTTTGTTTTCATTTTTTAGTGATGCAGGGTTAAATAAGGAAGTCAAAAAGCTATTAATAAAGTGAAAAACATTTCATCCATTTTCAGTGAAAAGATACCTTCCATGATGTCTTCCTTCTGCCCTTATTTCTGTCAGTGCTGAATATATTGTCAGATTAATTAAAGGGCTAGGGAAACCCTCTAGCTCCAGATTAAACTATTTTTCTTCCTAAACTCTTAACAAAAAAGATACTTTATGCTTATACATCTTGGAGTGTGTGGTGGTAAGAAGAGGAGAGGACCGGGCAGCTGCAATAAGATGGGATTTCATCACAATTTTAAAATATGCATCATGAAGTCATAACATAGGTTAAAAAAAAAGGTTTGAGGTTTGCTCTGTGGCCTTGGGATGCATGTTTCCTTATTTACTTCCTTTGGTCAATTCTGTACATGTCTTTAGGTGAAAATATTGTACATCTAGACATATATATGGGTATTGGATTTTTCATAGTTAAAAAAAATATCAGGACTGCTGTTCCAAAATGAGTATCAGGGCCTACACAGACAAAACAGTTGTACCCACACTTAATAAAGACAGCAGATTCTGGGGGACTTTGAAACCGTACGTGAATATAAAACTACAAATAAATGGGAAACATATTGCTCAGAGGTCAGAAATGGGAAACAGTTGAATTTGTTCGTATGAACTGTTGTGTTAACTGACTTCAACAATGATTTTTTGCAATATAACATATAAGAGAAAAAGCATTACAAAATATGCTGACTGACTCTCCCGTGTCATAGATGAGGCAATGTTATACTCATACATAAGACAAGTCAATACTATGACCATAATAATATTGACATTTGTTTTATTATTGCTACCAATGAAACAAAGAAACACATACTGAATCACAGTACATTGAATGAGGGTTCCAAGGGGGCAACAATGAAATATAATAACATAGGATACAGAAATACTCTAAACTGAACATTAAAACAAGTTACAGAAATTAGATCTGACATTCCTGATCTGTGGTGCCTCTGCAGCTGGCCTATGTCTTCTTTGTATGAAATTGTATGGATTTTGGTTTGGCTGCTGGTCACCATGGAGACTTGCATAGGTCTCTGCATCATGCTGTTCACCTGTAAAGACATGTATGTTCCTTTGGTGATAGGCCACTAAGATCATGAATCTAGTGGCAATAGTTACTGTACATCATAAGCCACCCTATGCTTAGAAATTGGGTTGAGTTTAAAACTATAGTACGAACTTTAAACTTTATAGTAACAGTATAGATAAATCATCTGCTGTGCAGCACAGTGTTCTGATTCCAACAGAGACATGCTACATGACAGGATGTCTCCCCAAATTTTTCTTTCATAGTCAAAAATCATAGTCAATCATACACAACTGATGGCCTCAAGTGCTCTGTTATACAAAGAGTTAGAAAGAATTCTCAGAGCTTCAATAAAAGTTGCCAAATGCAATGTTTCAATTTGACGCAAAGAAAAAATTATTAAACACATGAGGAGTGACTACTTAAGTACATTCAGTTATTTTACTTAAGCTTATGGTTAAATTAAATTATGTTAGTAATGAGGTCGAGGAACCACAAAACTACACACATATCATGAATGTTGAAGCTATGATGGATGGTGGGGCTGAAAAAGCTTTCGGGTTTGGGTAGAAGATAAGACTAGCCCTAACAATGACCCCATTGTTCCGTTTACCACACATATATGCAAGTCATACATGAATAGCGATATAGCTTGTTAGCTTGTTAGGTAGAATATTTTCATAGCAGTTGGACAAGTGCCTTTCATTCCAGTAGGTTCTCTATAGACTCACAATGAAATGAATAAATAAACAAAATCCAGTAAATATTTAAATCATAATTCAGATGATAATTCCTAATGCACAATCTCAAAACAAAGTTTTGAAGGAGACCTGAAAATGAACATGATTATAAAACTAAAAGTCAGATGAACTAAACTTTTTCTCTCTTATTCACAATTCACCATCACCCCAAAAGTGCTTTTTCAAGAGGCTGGTTTTTCTTTGAAGACATATCACTTCTCATCCAAGAAGAATCTTCATCTCTGACTGGATGTGGGGAATTGAAGGATTTATTCTCCTTGCAGACAGCTGCTCATTTGCATTCTTTTACTGAGTCATTAAAGCCACTTGGAGGTTTATCTTTGTCCTCAGGGTATAAATCCTTTCATTCCCCACCATCCAGTCAGAGCTGAAGAAGCTTCTTGGATGAGAAGCGAAATGTCTTCAAAGAAAAACCAGAAAGTTCAGTTGCCTCTTGAAAAAGCAAATTTGGGACAACCATGACCTGGATGAGAATCTCCATAGACAAATTCACCATTACCTTAATTCAGTTTCTCCTCCTCATTCACTCTCTTGAGTATGAGTCATTAGTTTAAGGCACAGAATGGTGGAAAAATGGATATTGTCCCTTAATGAAGAGGAGATGGAAATTAATGACTTTATGATCCTAATCTCATTAGTGTACTTTTCTTATTACCTGTTAAATCCTTTGTTCTTGATTCATGCCTTCCTTTAACATTGGTGTGGTTTTCTATGGGTCTATCTGCATATTTCATTGCTACGATAGGAGGCAATTCCTTGTCTGAGTTTAGTGGGATATCTTTAAAGAAAAGACAAAAAGAAATGATCGAAAATTTACAGTTTGAAATTCTCCGTTTCAGTCAGTTATGCTGTCCACAAGGATGGCATTCCCAGCATCCTGTCAGTATTCCAAGGCCAATGAGCTTTGTATTGTACAGTATTCAAATGCCCTCTGTCATTTCTGCAGCTCCTGAGATTCCCTCCTAAACTGGCTAAAATTTCCATTTTATGCATGGGTGGTACAGTCTTGGATACATAAACCATGGCATCAGAAATTGGGTATCAGAAAGAGAAACCAAATAAAATAAAATAATACATTGCTTTTCATTTCCTGCACCTTGTGAGAATGAGTTTTGCATGCCATCAGCCATGCAGTCTTGAGACAATTGAGAAGATTCGTGGTTGAAGCCAGCATCTTCACTTGGTCTTCCCATGATCTCATTCTCAGTTGCAATTGTATTTTGGACCAGAAAATAAGTGTGCATTTTCCCTTTGCCCTTCACATCAATTTCTCCTCTTTCCTTAATGTCAAAATTCTTCTCTTTGAGGCATCTGAAACATAAAAGCGGTAACAGATAATGTTTGTCATTTTTTTTACTACAATAAATCAGTAATCAACCTTTTTACAAATAATTTTATGGAAAATGGTATAGTTTTATGGAAATTGAAAAGTTTTGTGGAAATAGCTTTCTCCTCCTCATATTATTGTTCTAGAAACTTTAGATCTTAAGGTTTCTCTTTACTAAAGCAATGGCAATAGTGACAATCACCTTTACTACATAACTGACCATTTTACTGGATGACTTTATGGTAAAACTGATACAGTAAGGTCTGCTATAATTCCAGATGCAGGAAATGAATCAAGACTCCAGAAAAATAGAGAGAAGCTTTTACAGTTATAACTTTTCTGCCAATCCTGCCAAGACCATCCACCTTCAGCACCAGTAGTTCAGTATTAGAAACCTAGCATACTGTTGTGAATCACTATGAATATTGTTTTAAATTGTAAAATGGAATGTGATATACAGAAATATCATTTTGATAGAGGTTGAAATATGGCTGCAAGAAAAGTAACAGGAAAAATGGTGGTGGAGAAAAAAAGGAAAGAATGCATATTATCCCTAATCCAATCTATATAACTGTAAAACCATTTCCCCCTAATCCAATCCAAACTGATGTTTTCTAGTTTTCTTAAATTCCTTTCCCTAACTTCCAACCAGGCCAGGCAATAATAAATCAATGGTTTAAGAACAATAACATTACTCACTGATAAACACTGCCACTGAGGTGAATTTTGTTTGGCACTCCATGGCTCTCCATCCGGGATGCTATATTCACCGTATCTCCAAACAAACAGTAACGTGGCATTTTTTCTCCAACAACCCCTGCAAGGACAGATCCTGTGTGGATTCCAACCCTAATCTGAACAAGAGTTCAAAATAATAAATCAATCAATCAACTTTCTGTTGAATCTATTTGCTCTTTTTAAATATTTACTTGTCTTCTAATCCAACCCCTACTCAAAGCAAGAGACCTTATACCATCCCAGTCAAATGGCTGTCCAGTCTATACTGGAAAACTTCCTGCAATGGAGTAGCCACAATTCCAGAAGGAAAGCCCTTCCATTGATTAATTCTCCTCATTGTCAGGAAATTTCTCTTTAGGTATAAGTTGTAACTCTCTTTAATGAGCTTCCACCCATTACTTCTCATCCTGTCCTCAGGCACTTTGGAGAATAAATTAACTCCCCTACCCCTGAAAGCTTCAAAAGTACTGGAAGTAGCTATAATGTTACTCCAATCCTTTTTTTCAATAGGTTAGATATACCAAGTTACCTTAATTGTTCATCATATGGTTTAGCCACCAGACCCTTTCTTGTCTTTGTTGCTCTTCTCTATAGGTTTTCTAGGGACTCCCAGCATCTTTTTTTCCTGTATCATGGTGACCAGAACTAGGCCCAGTAGTCTCACTAATGCTGTATAAAGTGATACTATCACGTCTTGTGATTTTGATGCAATCCCTCTGTTGATGCTGCCTTTAAAAATCATGTTGTTGCTGTTTTTTGTATTTCTATTGTTTTACTCACTTGAATAGGATTTCCAGAAACAGGGTTTTTTATTTCTTTGGCTGCTATGATCATTCCCAGGGCAAAGTTGGCAACCCGTTCAGCATGGGTTGATACAGGGACAGGGACACCCCCTACAACCATGTAGGCATCCCCTATGGTTTCAACCTAAACAAAACAAATAAACAGATAGCATCTTTTATTTCAAAAGATTGTGTTGAGTTTCATTAAATATATTATTTGCAGCCAGATTGAAGATGGAACTTCTCAGGCTTTCTTTTTCTACAAATGGAAAGAAAAAGATTGCTGTAGAGCAGGGCTGTCAAACTCCCGGCCCATGTGCTGGATGCATCATGTGTTGGCCACACACATGCCTGGTTTAGTGAAGGGGGGGGGAAGTCCCAATACGTCACATGACACCGCCATGATGATACCAGTTTGACACCCTTGCTGTAGAGCGGAGGTCTCCAGACTTAGCAACTTTAAGACTTGTGGACTTCAACTTCCAGAATTCCTCAGCCAGCCAAAGCTGGCTGAGGAATTCTGGGAGTTGAAGTCCACAAGTCTTAAAGTTGCCAAGTTTGGGGACCCTTGCTGTAGAGGTTCTCTCACACTTTGCAAGTGAAGTTTTATGTAGCAAGATAAAACTTCCTGGCATTGCAAAAGGAAACATTTTATTTGTTCTCTTACATTTGTAATATGATATTTTATCAGCATGGAATTTTCACATTTTAAATATTAATTATCTCACCATGCATTAGTGTTTTATTGAAAAATTATGTAACTATATTAACAAATGTTGGAAGTCCTTTGTACTCTCTGAGCTTGGTTGCTTCTCTGGTGTTAATCCCTGATTATCTTGGTGTGGCTTCCTAGAGAGGATTGTTTACTTCTTAGCTTTTTTATTGTCTCTTTTGACTGGTATATAAATGTGGTTTATCTCTTATTTATTTTATTAGCATACAAACAACCAAGCAGAAAATAATATCCTAATCAAGGAACTACCAACAAGAAATTCCCACCAACATTGGCAGTGGTCTGTCTAGATACTTTATATTTTAATTTATGCTTTACTTTCCAGAGATTGTTAAGAACCTATAAGTAAATACAGGATCCTCAGCTAAATCAGAATAGGGTTACAAAGGAGCTATTTTTGACATCTCTATTCCTTTCTCCCATAAAATCACTTTCAGGCTATCAACTGAAAATACCTTGTAGACATCATGTACTGTGGTTAGCCTGTCAAATCGTAGATACATTGCATTTAACATGAGGACTATCTGAATAGGCTCACACTGGGCACAAATGTTGGTAAAAGTCACAACATCGCTGAATAGTATAGTACATTCTTTGAATTCTCCTATAGTTAAGGAGGAAAAAGAAGAGAGGTGAGTTTTAGAAATCACATCTAGTTTCATAATGAAATTGATCACAAAACTTATCAATACTGCACAAATGTATTAATATGTTTAGTATTTTAGTATCTATTTATAAAATATCAATTGTGAAATGTTTTTCAAAATATAGTAACCCAGCTTCTTTGTTATTTTGAAAATAAAAGCCAAGAAAATAGGCAAATGATAAAATTTTATAAAGCTATGCAAAAAAATTCAAAGTACTGTATTTTCTAACTAATGCTCAGATTCAACATAAAAAATACCAGCTTTGCAAAAAAAGGTATGCATTCCATAAAAAAGCCTAAATATATTATATCAATTGTTGTTTGCTGGAAATGTTAAGCAAGGCTTTTAACTCCCATCATGTGAAGTGACAGAAAGTAGCATTTTTAGAGTGAAGGCCATGGGATTTTAAAACAAAAATTACTGGAAGGAAAAATAAATCAGTACTGAGATGGAATCAATATATCAAATATCTTAAATAGCAGTGTATTCAGGGGAGTTGGAGGACACCTAACATAGCTTTACTCGAGGCCCATACATTTTGAAGATAAAAACATTTCTGCACTTGCTGTACATTGTCCTTTAATGTCTACCACTGATTCCAAGCAACAGATATAGTAATTACTGATCACTTGAACATATCTAAACTTGTCTGTATCTCATTGCATTCACCTGCCTCAACTCGTTTCCCCTCTTTGAGCTGATTGGCAACATGTTTAGGCAGCATGGCATACAGGAGGGCTTCTGTTTTCTTCCTTTCTTCCTCCAGGTGTTTAGACAGGATCCGCAGCTCCTCTTTTTTCCTCTCCAGTTGATTGGAGAGCTCCATCTCGGCCAACCTCTGTTGGTTGAGCAAGATCAAATCTCTAGTGACATCATGGGGAGCTATGTCAGAAATGTGCATGTGTCTTTCCTCCAACTCATGCAATGTACGCAGTAGAGGGGAACAAAGGTACAGCATGCATTGAACAGACTCCATCCAGATCATCTGCCCTGGTTCAAACAAATGAATAATGATCGGCAGGCATTAAATATTGAATATATTATACTTGTCCCAATCTGATTCCTTTCTGACCCACCCAGAACATTAAAAAAAATCACAACCATCTACTGGGAAGGCAATCAAAGGCCAAGGCAACATATAACAGCCATAATATTGTTTCCAAAGGTCTCCCAAATTTAGCACCAAATTGCCACTAATATGTAAGGTGTCACCAAATTGCCAGTGATATGTAAGCTTTTTGTGCAAAAAGCTTTTTTTCCATCAAAAGGCCAAGTCACATGACAGCTCTGGCTTCCTGGCACTTCATTCTCTTTTTTTTTTGTAACGTATATGCAAGTGCACAGAATACTCACTGGATGGGCATTTTCCCACCCTGCAATGGGGCACCAGGCTATTACCATGCTCATTATTTGCTGCCCCTGGGACATGGTTATTTTCTACAGTGTGCAATTTGCACACTTGCTCGTGGCAGCCATGCATCACCATAATGTGTACCACTGATTTATATTCATATCTGAAAGGCCAGTTCAGGGCTTGTCTATGGAAAAGGATCAGGAAGGAGGCCAGATTCTCCATAATATAAAATGTTTGTGTTCAGAGATTTTATATTTTATGGAGAAGCCTGTACCACTTGTAATGAAGCAATTCAGCCTATGGAAACAGATGTGTCACTTTAGAGAGAAATTGTGTTTTTCCCATGACAGAGTTATCTCTTCTCTATATTATTGCCTAATAGCTATTGAGAAATGGGAGTACTACCTCTTAGCTCTAACATAGGACGCTGCTTCCAAGAGGCCGGCATCATTTCTCTCTTGGTCTGGAAAACGAATTGGCTGTTGATGAATCTCTGAACACTGGAGATGGTAAATTTCACTTCAGGGCGTACAATAGTGAAGTACTGATTGAGACGGATGCCCAGTATTTGAAGGCCAGGCACAATCTTTTGAATACTAACCCCAGCTTGTTTCACTCTGAGCTTTAAAAGAAAAGAAAACAGGATTCTTGCTTATACTTTCCCTATTTTCCCTATTTACTGTCAATAAAATTTCATTTTGTAAACATTACATGTAGCTTTCTATAACTGTTACTAGTTGGATAAATTGCTGGATTGTATTATCAGTGTTATCATTGCCATCTTCATCATTACATCCAATCCATGTACAACCAAGGGACTCGTTTCTTCCTTGAATCCCTACAGAAGGGATGAGCCAGTGGGCAGACCTAATTAACTGCTCTATATGCATGTTGCCTAGCAGCAGGAAGAACTAAAGATGTTTGCGCAGGACTTCTTCCACAGTCAATTGCAGGGCAGGCAAGCATGAACAAATAACAAGTTCATCATGACATCATCACAGTAATGATGCAATATATGTACTTGCATCAAACATCATAAAGCAAATGCATGACTGACTCATTCATTTGAAGCTGTCAGGATGCATGTAATATATTGATATCTTTATACTTTGTTATGCAAGTCTTATGCCCTTCTGTGCATATATAAAAATAATTACCATTGCTGTTTTAGAATACTATGTGCTATAGATAATTTGTGCAGCTAAACATATTTTGTCTATTGTGATATCAGATTCTCTTTGAATCTGTTCTCCCTGTTTTGAATCTGCTGCTTGGTTTATTACTGTGTAAAATAAAGTCTGCCAATTTTGAATTTAAGGGATCCAGCCTGCTTATCATATATTGTTGTAATGAAAATAGCTCTACACTTGTTTTCTTAATCATTCCTTCATTCTATAACTGTTTTCTTAAACTTTCTTTATCCTTCATCTGGCATTCTGCAAAACTACATCACCATGTTATGCATAACTATTAAGTTGCATTAGTGTGAGAAAATGTAAGCTAGACATGCGTATATATTTATGTATGTATGTATGTACTCTAGTAGATAATTTGGCAATACAAATAGAAATGGGATGAATGTATATGGGATTATTATCCCAGAATAAGTAATATTGTAAATAAGCTTGTAGTTCTCAGTAATATAAATAGATGATAGATGGTGGTTTGGATGGATGGATGGATGATAGATGAATACATAGATAGATAAAGTCCAATGTTGATTTTCTTACCTGTTCATCAAAAACAATATGGAAAGGAAGCCCAATGCAAAATGTCTTTGGGTCAATCCAGAGAGTCCTAGGATAGACAGGATCAAATCCTTTAAGAAGTCGACCTGTAATAAGAAAAAATTATATTTTCATTGTCATTTTAATTCATTGACAGAATTAGCAGGAGCCTAGTGCTTGTTGTTTATATATAAATATTCATTCTTCTAGTCACTCCTGTCTTTCAAGAACTCAGGTCTGTCGATGGGGATTTTTTATGTATATGAATATGGTTCAGTTTAAAGTACTGAAATACTGAAATACTATTTATTCTAACGTTAGTGTCGAATTGGAGCATTAAAAGAAAAACATACATAATTTGGCTGAAATGCAAGACTAAGCCTGTAAAAATGAACATACAATACATCCCTTTACCGCTTTGCACATCAGCAGTCACATCATTTATTTTTTAAATATATAACATCTCATTCTCTGCCCTATTGAGCTTGTACTACCAACAATTAACATTTTAAAAATAAATGTATTGATTATATAATCAGAATGTGAGTATATAATGGATCAGTAATACGATTCCCTGTAAAATGCTTTGAGTTTAGTTTTTTAATGAAAACAATTAAAAAAAACTAGAGGGATGCAATGGTTCAGTGGTGAACTAGAGGGATGCAATTGTCAGCTGGAGAGCTGAAAGTTGGGTTCAAGTGTATTACTTGCGCCAGCTCCTGCCAACCTAGTAGTTTAATAGGGACCACTTTGGTGGGAAGGTAACAGCACTTTTGGCATATAGCTATGCTGGTCACATGACCATGGAAATTGTCTTTGGATAACACTGGCTCCCTTTGCCAAACTCCAGCTTCCAAGAGTTGGACATGACTGGCAGGGTAACCTTTACCTTTTTTTTATTAAAAAACAACTGACATTATAGCCAACCCATTTACCTTTTCCAATTGTCACAATTCCTCTGATTGTTTCCCAGTGGCTCCTTTTGACACTTGTTTTATCTCTGATCTTATTCATGGTTCTTTCAAGTTCCTGTGGGATACATCAAAAGCAGTCCCAAAACTTTTAAACATATTGTTTAACCAAAGAAATAAACTATTTCTTAACAAACGAATAAATGTAATTGTGAGACACAATTACAGTTTAAAATGTCATGCTTCATATTTGTAACTACTTGAAACAAGTACAAATATGCCTCATTATTTCAAAAAAGTAAAGCACTTTTGGATGTACTTATCCATGTATACCTTCAGATTTGTAAGCATGTGTATTTGATCATTCAATTCTGTACCATATCCTGCAGATACCCCTGCTGCAGTGGTGTGATTCAAAGTTTTTTACTACCGGTTCTGTGGGCGTGGCAGGGGAAGGATACTGTAAAATCTCCAGTCAGAGGTGGTATTTGCCAGTTCTCCAAACTATTCAAAATTTCTGCTACCGGTTCTCCAGAACTGGTCAGAACCTGCTAAAGAACTGGTCAGAACTCTGCCCTGCTGCTGTCTAAATGCCATCACAATTACAAGTACATTTTTCAACACTCTGCCGGCCAAAATGCCCTTTGACAACTATAAAACGTGTATACAAAATGTTTTATGAGTTGACTTCTAATAAATCCTTTTTAGTTTCAGGAGTGTGGCTTGAGGCTCATGATTTAATTGGAGTAACTGCTGGAATCCTGACACCCTGTTTTGGCCAGAAAAGTGCTGCAGGAGGCTATCCAGGCCGAAAATGGAGCAAGGGAGGGGGCATGTATGCCCCCCATGCTCTGTTTTGGCCAGCAGGGTGCTGCAGGAGGCATCTGTCCCATCTCCCCACCCCTCCACCCAGGGCGGACAATGGAGGAGAACTACAATGCTGATTCAGCCCTGGAAGAAATCCAGTTTGACACCTCTGTTCTAATCTCTTAGAATCAGGATGATTGGAATGGAGCTGAGGTGTTTATTGGCCAGGTGTTTTTCCAAAAACCTATGTGGAGTTTGCAGTTCAGATTATCTCTTTGCATCCTGACAGAGAGACATCTGCTGCTGGCTATGATTGAACTTTCAACCTTCAGAGTGGAAGTTGAATGTCTTCACCACTAGACTATCACAACATTCTAAAAAAAAAAAAAAAAAAACATTATAGTACCTCTTTATTCAGTCTTCTTTCTGCCTGAGCTCCAGAATTTGGAAGGTAATGTGTGGAAGAGAACTTGTTTCTTCTTAGGTAGGAAAATACAGGTTTTTGTGTTACAAGAAATACAATGTGTTCTTTTTTTCCTGTTCTTTCTTCTTCTTCTGTCTGATTGACAATTTCCATTGAAATTTCAGTATTGAAAAAGTCCAAAGCTGCTGCACCAATGATTCCTGAATCCAGAGAGAGAGAAAAAAATCCAGGTGATATCACACATGTTTATACTAGCTTGATTCCCATGCTTCGCTATGAAACTGTGTGGTTGGACTTAGTTTTTGGAGAGGAAAATAAGGGGGGGAAATTCTGCCACTCCCTACCAGCATCCATGGGTATTCATCTGGCTAGCGTCCTCTCAGTGTGTGAGAGAGTTGAGGGCTATTTGGAAACTGAAAGAGTAGTTGCTGTGTGAGCAAGAAAGAGACAGCAAGGAGTCCGGGCGTGGCTTAGTTCAACTGTTCTGTACTAAAGCTGCTTAGTGCTGTGAAACTAAAACTGAAACTGAAACTGAAACTGCTTTGCTTTGCTTGTGTTCTGCATTTGGAACAGATTTCTTTTCAGGTGGAGAGGGGGAGTAGAACTCCTTAGCATCAGAGCATGTTAATAATAATATAGGAAATACTAATGCCCTGATGGTCATTTTAAAAAAATCCTTTCTTAATGAGCTACCTAGAAGCCAAGATGAACATATGTGCCAAATTTCAAGTTTGTAGGCTTTACGATTCTGGATATTTTGTGATGATGCATGAGCGATATTTCGCTTTTATATATTGAGAGTATCTTTAGGATATTTACTCAAGCACTCAAACAATGTTTGTTTCCTTACACACTGAGTCTGCCAACAGCAACAATCTCAATTGTAAGCCTTAATAAACAGATTTTATTTCAAACAAACATAGGTTTTATTGGTTCAAATCTCATACAATTTCTGGTGCTCATTAGGTTACTTTAGTTCAGTCTCTATCCTTGAGACTGGTGGTAGTAGAATAAATAGCAGTGAGCAATCATGAACTCAGAAAAATGGGGAAAATGTTATAAAAATATTCATTAATCCATTAATTATTTGGCTATTGTTGTTATCATCTTCATCTGCCCCTTCAACATTTTTCCAAGGCAAAAAAAAAGTATAGAATAATAATTCTAAGGAAATAAAAAAAATACAAAATACAATTGAAAATACAATAAAATAAAAGCTGCTATAGCTTAGATCTGATGGCCTACCACAGAAGCAGGACATTTTGTAATTGTTGAAATTTGAACTTAACATACCTAGCTAGCTTGCTAATTCGCTATCAAAAGGAAAGTACACAAACATTTATATAATCATTGTTGAATAAAACCTCAGCATTTCAAAGCCCATATTAAACACATGCAGATATATTCACTTACCTGGAACTATGTGGCATAAGCCTCTTCTGTCTGAATAATAATGCAAATACATTGACCCATCTTCATTCTTTTCTACCCTAAAGGAAGGAGCGTTCATCTCCTGAAAAACACTCAAAAGGAACAATGTTACACTTGCTGCAGAGAAAGGTATAAAGGTTATAAAGAAGTGGCTTCTGGTATTCTTCAGAACAATTATAAGTACAATTATATTTTAACCTCTCTGTTTAAAGTTACATCATGAATCTCTTCTTTCTATAATATATCCTGTCTAATGATCAAAACCATAAATCACAGGGGTTCAGGGTCTTTTTTCATTTTTACACAAAATGCCCATAAGGAGTTTCCAATCACTACTAAACATAGGAATTGCCCTTTTTCTCATCAAAACAATCAATGTGTTCATTTTAGCAAGTTTTGTCAATCCATCAACTATTCCTCCCTGATGGTCCACATGCATATTTTTATGACTGATACCATAGTAAAAGACATGTTGCAATTGTTGCTCATTTTGAGACATCAGAAATCTGCTCCTTGATAGCAGTGTGGAAACATTACAACATCTTTCTACATGTCCATCATCCTTATGATACATCAGATTATTTTTTCATCTAATCAACTATCACATACCAACTTCTAGAGCAGGGGCGGCCTGCAGGCTGGGTGCATCATGTGCTGGCCCCACCCCCGTCTGGTTTAGCAAAGGGAGGAAAAGTCCTGATATGTCAAATGACAATGCCGTGACCACACGAGTTTGACATCCCTGTTCTAGAGGCTCTCTTCCCCACTGCATACTACAATTTTTTTAAAAAATGAATCCTAATAGTGGAAATGCAAGCACCGTGTCAACTTTAAAATTCAGCTGCCACATATTTTTTTTAAGAGAGTTGAAGGAGTTGAAAAGTTCAAGGTTATTCTGTATGTCATATTAAGAAATTCCAGTGGCAGTTAATTGGTCTTCGTGATTTATGAAGAGTAGAAGTGGGAAAAGAGAAGGGAGAAGAGAAGGTGGATTCTGTGTAATGCACGAAAATAATTTCACTTGGGAAATTGCCTTTGATATGCCAGAACTGTTCCTAAATAAATCAGTTGGAGTGATTGATATCATGGATACTTTCTGGATACCTTACATTTATTTCCCAAGTCAAACTTTTATTTTTTGAAGGGGCTTGGTTGATACCCTGGAGTTCTTTCTCCTGAGATGGAGAATTATCAACAATCAGCCGAAGTCGGAGACACGGATTCTGCAACTAAGTCTTTAAATTCTTTCTGTCAAACAACTTGCTACTTGTCATACAGATTTCCTTTTGGAAGATAAACATTCATCACCTAGAAAGTCTTTATGTGGGAATTTAATGTTTTCCTGTCTGTTGCACTCTTAGGAAAAATCTATCATCTGAAGCTGGCATCTAATGGAGAGTGAGGGAGACTGTAGTATCCCACTGATGTTTCTTGAATCCAAATAGAATTTCCAAAAATTAATCTTTTTTAGGATTACAACAGAAGTTCCTCAATTCTGATGATAGTAAGGTCATAAAAATATTATTTCAAGTTGTCTGATGGAAAATTTGATTTGATAAAAACATGCATATTTAAAATTGGAGTCAGATTTTGGCAACCAAGTAAAGCATCAGAATTCATAAAATACACGTACTGTATATATATATATGCTTACAGACACTCATCCAGCCATGTGCACACACACATATACATAATAATTTTCCTATATTATTATTGACAAGATGAATGAATTCATAATAAAGAATCAGATTTCTCTTCTCTTCTATTCATTTCCACTTGCCTGGTAAGACAGACTGAGGTAACTGTGTAATGCATCCAGGTTCTCTATGAATTCATACAGATTTCCTCCCAGCGTTCTCAGCATATGGTCATAACCTGACTGTTTACAGAATTCAAAAAAATATTCTCCAAATTGTTTTAGGACCGTATCTGGGGAAACATCTAGGAAAATAAATATATGTTACAATATTACATGTTCATGTTTCAAGATTAGAAACCAGTTAATTCAGGTTAATTCAGAACACGTTCCATCACCACCATTATTGTCCCCCAATTCTTCAGAAGAAGTTTGATGCATACCCATAATTTAATTTTTCTGAACTCCAGACTTTGAAAACATGCAGGGAGCATGCCATGCCAATTGGATATGCCACACACATACACAAACATATATACACATACATACAATACATGCATACACACAGAGAGAGGGCGGGAGGGAAGGAGGGAGGAGGAGAGATTTTCCTTTCAATCTATGTACATGTGTTCAGTTGTTTGTCACAATTTCTCCATATCTGACATGAGAGTAAGCTTCTTTGCTGCAAAGCCTCAATTTGCCTGCATTGAAAACAGATTTCATTGTAATGTGGGAGAAAAATGACAGCATTTCAGAAAAATGTAACTGAGTTCCTGATAGTTCTAGCTTGTAACAATGGTCAGGGGTTACAATAGGGTAAATGGGAAAATACATTAAAAAAATACTTCACACAAGCATCAAGAAGATAATAGTGGTATTAGTGGTGGTGGTGGTGATGCTGCAGAAGAAGAAGAAGAAGAAGAAGAAGAAGAAGAAGAAGAAGAAGAAGAAGAAGAAGAAGAAGAAGAAGAAGAAGAAGAAGAAGAAGAAGAAGAAGAAGAAGAAGAAGAAGAAGAAGAGGAAGAGGAAGAGGAAGAGGAGGAGGAGGAGGAGGAGAAGGGTTAGGGTTCAAAACAATACATACCTAACATTTGGCATGCCTTGTCAATTAGTTTCATTGTGATCTCATCTTTATAAACTTCAAAAGTAAAAAATGTATCCTGTACTCCAGTTTGTACTCTATAACAAAAAGACAAAACAAACGAACAATTGGAGTTTGTGTGTGTGTGTGTCTGTGTGTGTGTGTGTTAGGGGGTTAAGTTTTCAGCTCTTATGACAAAAGTAGGACCGCGCCCATTTCTCAGATTCAGAATTCTTTTGTTACTACCACTTGATTTCCAGCAAAAGACATCTTTTCTCTGATTAATGGAGTCTAAGTATTTCTTTCTTGGATTTTGAATGGAGCACCAGCTGACATTATTCTGAATCTGAGAAAATGGGCGTGTAAATCACATATACAAAGTAATGGCAACGGTCCCACCCCCAATAGTTCAATTGGCTCATCCAATTAAAAGTTGTGTATATCATCATGTGGGCATCTCCAGGTGGTGATGAGGCCTCTGTCCGTTGACCTTGACATATTTTGATAAAGAGTTGCAGCTGCGCATAGCATAGGATACAAGCCTAAGCAAGAATCTACCCCCTCCCAGCTTATACAGTTCTGTTTTGTAACACCTCCAGCTCACTTCCCATAACCATATCCCCCCCTCCTCTCCCCATTACTTATGACAGCCGAAAGATGCAAAGCAAAGGGAGAAAATCTTGAAGGCTGAGAATTATATACAGAATTCAATTAAACATAGACAATGTACAGTGATATACAGCAGAGGTGGTATTCAGCAAGTTTTGACCAATTCTGGAGAACTGGTAGCAGAAATTTTGAGTAGTTTGGAGAACCGGCAAATACCACCTCTGACTGCCCCCCCCACCCCATTCTCTGCCTCCCGAGACCCAGCTGATTGGCTGGGTCCTCTTTTGTTGCACTGCACAGGACAATGGAGCTGGAAAACAGGTTAGTGGGGTGGGGAGGGAATGGGATTTTGCAGTAACCTTCCCCTACCATGTCCACCAAGCTACGCTCACCAAGCCATGCCCACAGAACTGGTAGTAAAAAATGTTGAATCCCACCACTGATATACAGTATTGTATTAACACTATTTATGGAACCATCAAAACAGTAACCAAGCAATGACATCATAACCTAATTATTTATGACCCATTAATTACATAATGATAGAATATGTTTTCCTCAGAATCTGCTATTCAGTATATTTTTATCAGTCTATGGAATATCACTGAAGTTCACTATCAGTCAGAGGAATGTTTCTGTAAAAACATTTTTCAACAAGCAAAAGGATAGAGACAAGACAGGTGTTGTTGTTTTTAAAAAAGAAATCCATTCTAACAGAATAAAAATTGGCAAGCTGGAGAGAAAAGGCCTGGTACAGAGAAAGTGGCATTTATAGCCTCCTCACCTCACTCCCTCTTTGATAAACAAGAAAAGTTTGGACCAATGCTTCAGAGATGGTATTCAGCAGGTTCTGACCAGTTCTGGAGAACCAGTAGCGGAAATTTTGAGTAGTTCAGAGAACTGGGAAATACCACCTCTGACTGGAGATTTTACAGTATCCTTCCCCTGCCAGGCCCACCAAGCCATGCCTACAGAACCGGTAGTAAAAAAAATTGAATCCCAACACTGCAATGGTTGTATTTAGAATCCAGAGAGCTAAGCTGAACTCCCTATTGGGAAGTCCAGTATGGAAGCATCAATTCAACACAACACAAGAGAGAGATAGTTAAGGCTAGGTTCATTATACAGAGTTTATTGAAGTGATCTATCTCATTAGCAGGCATGTCATGCTATTGTCAGAAAGTCTATTCCACTATAGGTAGTCCTTGGTTAATGACAATAATTGGGGCCAGAATTTCCATTGCTAAGCAATATGATTCGTAACTCGCAACATCAAGTGATTGCACTTAGCAACAGCAATCCTGGCATTTCTCATTGTCATTGTTAAGCAAGAATCATGGGTCATTAAGTGAGTTCAGATTATTTACAAGAAGGTCAGCAAGCAGGTAACGTATGGTATGAAGCATGGCATGAGAGCGGCAAGGCCAGTTGTGGCTGCTGCTGAGCGGGAGAGGGTGTGAGTGACTTACTGGAGCAACTCGCAACTTTCTCTGCTGGTTTCCCCAATGACTTTGCTTTGGAAAGCTGAAAGTTACAAATGGCAATCACATGACAAAGGGACACAACCACTAAGTACAAGCTGGTTGCCAAGGACCCAGACTCACTTTCAAGTGGCTGCTGGGATGGCTAGTATTTTGGGAACCAGTTGTAAATACCACTAGCCCAGAACTGTTGTAACTTTGAATGGTTGTTGAGCAAGTTGTCAAATGAAGACTACCTGTACACAATCACTTTCTCGTTGTTCTTCATATGTGGAACTGAATTTGCACCATTGTAATTGTCTATAAGAGGAAGATGATGCTATTTTAAAATTAGCCATATTGCAGCAGCTAAAAGCAATGCCTTCAGAAGTTCAGGGGGATTCCTTGATGGTTGTAGCTTACCATTATCACTCTTTAGCTTATTTCTGCTTGTAAAGGAAGTGGAATGAGAAAATACAGTAGACCTATCATGTCTGGACTGAAAAAAATCCAAACAATCATTAAATGCTTGCAAAGAGATATAGAAAATTCCCATAACCAAAGTATAGTATGAATATTTTTTAAGTAGTGTGAAATCTGGTTGGATTTAGGTATATATATGCCTTGTATTCTAGGTGACAGAGGGAGAACAGATTCTCCTTGCACAATGGTCAAGAGAAGAAGACATTTAGGTTGACCAACACAGTAATGGGAGACCCTCATTGGTATCAAGCCTACTGTTGCTGCAGTAGTGGCAGCCATGTGACATAACTCTTCCCTTTCTCTTACTTATCCTCAATTACCATACAGCAGCAGGGTTTGTCATTTGAAAATTGGCCATGAGACCCAGAAAACTCTACTTAACAAGTGAGTCTTTTAGAAGGGACTCTGTTCTGCATCAAGGCCTTGCCTCAAATCACACTGTCATAGTGAGCCTTGCTTTAGTTTGCAAAACTGAATTGCTCTGCCTCGGGTGCCTTGAACCAAAACAACAAGGCAGGAGGATTAGATTTAGCTGTACCCTTTGACTGGATTGAAAAAGAGGTGTTTTTTGTTGTTATTGTTTTTGCTTCTGAACTGAAGCAGGATGACTGGTCCAATCTCGTGGTTCAAAGGGTAATAAAGTTCAGCATTTCCCTTCAGAAGAGCACTTCATTCAAAATTTTATCAAAGTACCCTATCAAAGCTTGGCACAACCATATTAATAAGAGATTAATTACTGTATAATCTGTCAAGTCTCATTGTATAAATCCATGAGTCTAATAAATCTATTAGTCTTCAAGGTAAGGCCATCGCTTTGTCAAAGGATTTGAAACATCTTATTAATCATGGCTTTAAGCAATTCTAATATTTGAACTTTTTGAATAATTTTTCTAGGAATAACTTACATACCTTAAATTTTCCCATATTTCTTCACCATATTTTTCAACCACCAGAGACTTTAGGCATGTGTTTATAAATCCATACTGTAGAAACAGAAGTAAGAAACATAGAGAAAGAGAATGAACATGGCACTATATGCTTCTCTATAATTCTTGCATTTGTATTACATTCTTTACTTACTTACACACCCTCTACCTGGATCTTTTAATATAGTTGAATTGCTATGGAAAAGTTATTAACATTTATGAACAAAGCCATTCCAGTAGATTAAAACACCAACATTAATAATAGTTTTTCTCAGTATGTTATCTTCCAGAAATATTTTGCTACATTCTCCATGATCTGTAACCAAGGTGGCTATTTCTCCTATATTTATTGTTCAGTGGTAAAAGTTGTATCAAGAACAGTTTTTTTAAACAAGTTTTTCAAATCAATTTTTGATTGACTCTATGTATTGAGCTTCCATCTGAATTTTTTTAATTGATTGTGACTAAAGTACATTGATGTTCGAACTCCTGATCTCTCCAACCTGCTTTTGTTGCTCTTTCTTTTCTTAATTAAATTAATATTAATTCATGTATTACTGTAGTTCTGTTACTTCCTATACTCAAAGATTATTAGTAGGTACTGATATTGTTATACCTTATGTGAAAAATAAAATTGCATTATTTAGATTTCAGTGTTAATAGTAATACTGTAGTTCTTTACTAGAAGGATAAATGGATTGTATTACAGTTGCTACTGTTTCAACTGTAGATTCAAACAACCAGCTTCAAACAACCAGTCACATGTAAATTCAAACTAGCTACTTTATTGATCTCAGTCTTTACTACAGGAATCTTCCCAGACTGGCAGTTTATCTGGGAAAGACCAAATAAGGCTCAAATGCATTTGGGGGAGGGGGTGTCAGACCTTGCCCTCTTGGTGAATCCAAACTAATTACCCTCTCAAGACCCCCCCTGACTGGAATGGTTGCTCTCCAACAATATTTTTGAAGGCAGAAGGAGATAGTTGGAATCCAAATGTTAACAAGAGATTAATGGAATAATGAAGGAAAGCCAAGACTGATATGGTTCTCATAGATTTTGGTTGTGAATTGTAGGGCGTGTTTCAGAAGATGTAACATTTTCTCTGGTAATAACAATGACTCAAAGTTGGAAGGTGGCTATAAATATTGATGCTGAGCTAAGTGAGATCAATCTAAAATACCAGAAAGGGAAAAGAAGCAATGGACTTCAGCCAATAAAAGTAGTGAGAATCTTGAAGCAACCAAGATGCTGTGGAAATATAAAGCCTCTGTTTTTAACCTGCTTGGCAAAGGGGCCATTTATTTTCTAAAATATGTCTTGCCCTCTTGGCTGACTTCCAGATAACAGTAAACTGAAGCCTATTTACATTTTTCTAACCAAGGATGTAAGTATGTTGAATAAAGAGCTGATGGGTCATCTAATTCTAATGCTTGCTCTGCTACTATGTATATTTTTGTATCTTATTGTTTCTGTACCTTAATGTATAAAGTGATCATATGCTTATTATGTAATCTTTGCAAACTTTTCTTAAGTAAACATATGTAAAAGATTTTATACTTCATGACTTTGCTATTCCAATGCACTCTAATTGGGGCTGCCTTTAAAGGCCACCCAAAAGTTTCAACTGGTCCAGAATGCAGCAGTGAAAGCAGTAATGGGCATGTCTCAATATGTTGATGTAACATTTTTGCTTTGAGAGTTTGCTTCAGATGCAAGTCAAGATGCTAGTTACTACCTACAAATCTTTACATGGCACAGGTTTTGTGACTTGATGGATCTCCTATCTTTCATAGTACCTGTCCAGCTGGCTCGATCTGGCAATATTGGATTCGGTCAACTAAACAATACTATCTTTCTGTAGCCCAAAAGTACACCTTCTCTGTGGCAGCATCTGCCTTCTGAAATCAGGTTCCTGAAATTTGAATGTCTCCCATCCTACTGCTATTTCAAAGGGCCCTAAAAACCTGGCTATTTACCCAAAACTTGGAAAGGACAACTGACACCCCTTTTTTCCTGCTTTTTCTTCTCCAAGTTTGTTTTCTTCCCCAATGTTAATTTTTTTGTGTTCTGCTATTTTTGTGTTTTTATTTTTATTGTTCTTTGTTTTTAAATCTTGTAGCAATTATAGACCACACATAGTTGCTCGGGCTCACAGAGCATATGAATTTAATGAATATTTATTATTAATACTCCTATTACTTAAATGTTTTCTTAATCAGTATTTTGTCACATGGTTTCACCCAGATGGTATTGTCTGCTGCTACTTGGAGTGAAAGTGGATGTATAGAAGGCTGTATTGGGGGAGAGTGGCTCACAGTCCCTGGACTAATCCTTAATCACCTGAACAAGAACACTGGACCTTAGAAATCAAAAATTTATAAAGAAAAATAATAAGCTGATTTGGCTGAGCTGTGGCTCCATCTTCAAGAATTCATTGCATGTATCAGGGCATGGTTTGACCACTCTTTGATACTGTGATAATTTCAAGGCATACTTTTGTTTAGAGGCAAATTATATACTGCACAAACATTGTTGACAGTAGGAACACAGTGTTCAGTAGGTTTATTAAGAATGTCTACCAATAAAGGCATCATATCTTGCATGAATGTGTTTACTGTAAACTGGGAAATGTCTTCAATTTAACACTTCACTTGAGAATGGCAAGAATTTCTATTACAGGCTGAGTTGTAATAAAACACTCTATGTGGAGCTGCCATTAGTACCAGATTAGAAGCTAAATATGAAGTCAGTTTATGTGACTATATCATTCCAACTATTTTTTTCTGAAGGAACAGTTTTCCATGGGTCTTGAACATGGCCAGGCCTGGGTTTGTTTGTTGTTTTATTTCATCTGCTTATTTTTGCTTGCCATAACTCAGCACAGGCACTGCACATGGGACAACTTTTTCAGTAGATCTTAGAAAAAGTCACGTGAATTCAAAGAATTCCTTCAATATTGAACTATTTAGCACTTGAAAGGTAATACCAAACATAGATAGATTATGAACTGGTAAACTCATTGCAAATTATTTCACTAAATTGCTCAAAACAAAGTATTGAATGCTATGTACAACTGAAAAGGGAGTGGTCAAATAATTGTTTTGATGAAGGAGAAAGTCTTTGTGCATTTCTTTTTTGTTGATTATATTCTTATTTTTTCTTTTTCTTTTTTCTTTTCTGCATTTTCTATTTTTTGTTTGTATTAGGTTTACCTTTGTAATTGTAATTTTTAATAAAATTAGTATAAAAAAGAAAAGGAATTAGTCAAATAATAATAATCTTATTTTGTTTTAAAATTATCACCTAGGATATTACTAATTCTAGTTCCATTTTGTCCTGACTTGTGAAATAGAGAAAGGTACATAATTTTAATTTTTTGATATTTGGTATTGTTACCACCAAATAACTTTCACTTTTATTTCAATTTTACAAGTGAGCATATTTAAGTGAAGGGATATAGCATTTGATTTTTAAAACAATGGGAAAATGAATTTGAAATTAGGACCATTGCAGCATCTGTGCTTCTTAGCTTCAAGACCTCATTATGCCAGGTATACTATCACTTAATTGTTTCTTAGAGCAAGCTAGTATAAATGCATTTACACTAAATTCCATATTACAGCTCTGTCAGTAATGAGTTCAATAACTCTTTTTTAAGAAGCTTTACTTTGCAGCTGGTATTGCAAGCATTTGAATGGTAGAGCTGCGCTACACTACTGTGCTTTGGAGATAAAATAATGCTATATATTCCCATTTAAAAGTACAGTGGGACAGAGAGAGGAAGAGCATTAAAGAAAGACCATTAGGTTTAAAGTCTTAAATTATCTAGCGTATAGAACATAAACAAGTAGCAGTTGAAAAATAAACTGCCATTTTAAATCATAATAATAGAAAATAGTACATGTTTACATAAACAGTGCACATTTACATAAATAAATCCCAATGTATTTTAGACGCACCTTTTTAAAACTGCAAGTCTTTCTGTTTTAATAGAAATTTTTAATTGTAGTATTTCTACAATTTTGATATCAAAAATAATTGGAGGTATATAAAGAAAAACCCTTAAAAGCCATTTGTATGTTAAACATATTATTATTGTTTACATACATTCTGCACATTCTGCAAAAAATATACAATACATACAGACTTTGGTGGTGAAAGAGTTATCCCGACATAAAATGGGAAGTCAATAAATCTATAAATAAATAAACATGCTTTTGCTCCATTAATCCAGTGGGAATATTTGAAATACTTGTCCTATCTAATTATATTGTGATCTGTTGGCTGGTAGGGTTGTTTGCTTTGAAAACAAAATTCATATTATAAGAGGTCATCATAGAAAATATAAAGATTTATATTATTGGTAGTACAATTTGGAGAATATTACTTGATTTTAGGTATAGATTCTGGTTCATTCTACAATTCTGATCCCTCAGTAGCTTTTTTTTTTTAAATAAAGTTTTATTTGGGTTTTCACACACAAAATACAAGTAAAACATCTTTTCTGAAAATAGCATGGTCCCGGGTTGCACTTCTTTATACAGACACAAAACTCAATTTCATGCTCCTTTTTGTATTCTATTCCATATCTTATACTATTTTATATTTTCTATATAGTTTTTACCCTCTTTTAATTTTCTCAATTGTATTTTGATTATCTCATCTCAATTCAAATCATTATATTTATACTTTTGTCTGTTCTGTTTCAATTTCATATTATCTTTTCTCATTAAACAAATTTTCTCCTGTAGTTACTAATTGGAGTATGACACCTTTATATCTTTTAATTACATCCATTCAACTCTTATTTAAACTTCAATATATACCTTAAGTTTATGACCTTCAATATAATACATAATACATAACTTCCAATCGAATTCTGCTTGGCACATTCTTATAATACACACTATATTCTTTTTTTAAAAAAAAAGAAAGATTGTAAATATATGTAATTATAAACCCTCATTCCATTCCACTTCAGTTCTATCATTAATGATCATTAAAACCATAACATCTTTAACACTTCTTTTCAATTAAATATCATACTTCCTTAA